GAAAGACAGCAAACACTGATGGCAAGGGATTGCAAGGTGTGCGCGAAAACAGCCTGTTGCCTGACCTGCATGGTATGTGTATGGAAGTTGCGATATCGTCCATAGCTAGAACAATTAAGTAGGCTGGACAACGGTGACAATGAATAATAAAAAAATAAGTGCGAACAATAGCGCATTACACATTGCCATTGAAATGATATACCAAAGAGAAAACATGTTGCGCCACCGAAATAGCGATCGCGCTCAGAAGAGAAATTGTAACGGTGTGTTCGCTTAGTCCAGGCTATATGATGCGGTAGTAAAAGGGCACAGTAAGCGAGTAATCTTAAAATGTGGTCTCCCAGAGGAGAAAATTAAAAATAGATCATACTATTAGGACACGGAAGAGCTTGGAACGCCGGACCGGAGGAATATTACAGTAACTTTCCTTCTAGTTTCAAACCACACGCAGTCGCAGATTCCTCTCGGTCTACTCGATAAGTATATGTTTGGCAGCATCCGATTTCCGATTTGTTTGTCACTGTGGCCTTCACGGGGACAGCTACATGACGCCTGCGCCTACAGAAGGACCATGGGTGGCTTGTGCTTCACCGCCTACCGCATATCCAGTGTAAACCAGAAGGAATAAGACCAGGAGGCATGTGGATGGGAGCCACGTATCATAAACGGAGCTAGCCCACAATCCAACATGCACAGCAGCAACATTCCAGTCAGTCTAATGAGGGAATCATGCGTACCAGACGTACACAAGGCGGTGGCTAGACCGTAGTCCGCTTCACAATGAGTGTATGGAATCACCGTCTGAGCCTAGCACGGCCACAAGGACCGTGCACCCCCGCCCCCACAACAACGATTCAGTCACCTAGAGACGGTAATCGAGGTGGAGGGTGCTAGACAAGTAGGCATATTGTCAACATGCACATCAAGCGCCGCCACACCGGGGATGTCAAACAACAGCCAACCACTTGAAATGACAATGTGAAATAGGTATACGTCCAAACAAATGGACAACATCAATTCATCCATTCCCATTCGGAACCATTGATCCTCCGTAAGACTGGTATGCCTCAACGCGCGCACTTTGCTGTAGGTGGTCCAACAGTTAGCACTTGCTGAACACCAGAGACCTTGTTTATCAGAAACTCGACTACAAGATTCGAGTTCCATGCTTACCCTGTGATTCCCCACGTGCGACACTGGCGCTAATTTCTCATTGCACTTGTCCGGAGAGGACGCAGCTTCAAATGCCTGTCAAGCCAGTGTTGGTACTGCTTTGAACCTCCAGGGTGAAGCTGCCATGATCGATTGGATCCCAGTCCACATCCGGATATGCGCTGCCATAGTAACTGGCTCGTTCAAAACTTGTCACGCGGAGATAAATGGTGCCTACGCTTCCACAAATGGTAGCGTTGACCCAGTGAAAGATGACTTCTATGACTAAATGAATGCGCTAACACCGTTATAGAATAAGTACGGACATTGTAATCATAGCTCGTGTGAACTGAGCTGCATCTAGGCGGCCAACGCGGTGAAAACTTGCGTAATCATAACTGTCAGCGGTTGATAAAGCTGTGAAGATGCTCACCTACTTCTACTAAACACCAAATTCGGACATAGCACCCGCAGATGGGTGACATAGCGTCCACCAGCCTCGAACTACGCACGAACATGAATCGACCACGTCGCGATCAGTTACCATAGGAGGCTCTGTCCAAAACTGTCGCTCGATTTGGAGCGGTGTGGGAAAGGTTGGCCGCTGTCACGTTTAATTCTTAACTATGTCATCGACGCAGTCATGGAAACTGCTCACATTGGACACGACCTACAAGGTGTGAAGCTGCTCCAAAGTGATTGATTTCTTGAGTTAGAGTACGCAGACGATATTGCAATAATCTGTGACAACTAAAAAGTACCAAGAGGCAGTGCACAGATTAGCAAAGGCTGTCAGTCGTTTCGGGCTATGCTTTGCACCCTGGAAATACAAATTCCCACTTCGAGATTGGCTGTAACCCACTCCAGCGCTGTGATCGGTTAGACGTCGCCAAGAAATTCAAGTCTCTTTGCAGCTACATCAATGGCAGCTGAAGAGATGTTATATATATATATATATATATATATATATATATATATATATATATATATATATATATATATATATATATATATATATATATATATATATATATACATTCGGGGTTGATTGTGCCGCTCCAACATCGTTAAACAGCAGGATAATATCGTCTGCATAATCAAGATCAACTAGTTTTTCCCCAATGCCTTTTCCTCAACGCTTGCCTCGTGAAGCTCCGCAAGGGTACACTCCAGATGCGATCCATAACCAAGGTGGATAAAAGGAGAAAATGGACAAACTTGACGGACGACACTTATTGTCGGAAAGCTATCCGACAGGTCACCGTAGACTCTGACGCGGCCTGTAGTGTTCGAGTATACAGCACGCAAAATGTTCACATTTCTCATGGGAGCATTTTACCGCACAAATATTTCGAACAGAATGTATCGGTTGGTAGAGACAAACGCATTCTTGAACACAGCTAATGTCAGTCTGTGGTATGTGTGGCACTGCTCTAACACCTGCCGCAAAGTGAATATATGGTCCATACAGCCACATCCTGGGCGGAAATCTGCTCACTCTTCTCTAATCCGGGATTCTCGCTCCGCAGTGAGACGACGAACGAGAATTAAGGTCAGTTGTTTTGTCGCCACCAGCGTTACGCTAATATCCCAATGGTTAGCGCAGTTGGTGCGGCTGCTCTTGTATATCGCCACCGTGAATGATTCACTCCAGTTAACCGGAGTGGCCTCTGCCTTCCAGAGCTGTTCGAACAGAAGTCAGTGACTTGCAGAGGACTTCACCATCGACCTTAAATAGTGCGGGTGCGAGCGAATCCGGGTCAACAGCACGAAAAGGATTAAAGGTTGCGATCGCGTTTCGGACCTCAGCCTCCGACAGAGTCTATAAAGTACCCGGCCAAGGCTGAGCCTGCAACACCTGAGTAGGAAGAGGTCAAGAAGCAGGGAGACAAGTGAACTGCTCTCGAGTGTTCCGCCCAACGAGTCATACGGCGTTTGCTATTTTAAATCAGTGCACCTGCGCTGTCTCTGACTGTTTCACTGGAGTCTCGTTCTCTGGGACCAGTGGTGCGGATCAGCTGGAGGAGCTTGCGGTAAAAGTCTACTGCTTCATTTCTTGAACCCTTCTGGTCCAGCAGGCTTCCTTGTCAGCCCGCAGGCTCCGCTTTAATTCGCGCCTAATAATCCGCCTAGTTACATTGTGCGCGGATATAGCCGGGAGTTTTCTTCTAGATTCCGACAGGTTCACCGACCTCCCAGATATCCAATGACTGGTGCAATGACGATTATTAGTACACAATCAGATGCTCATGCGCCATGCATGGCAACCGAGATCCTATTCCACTGAAGCTTAGTGTGTCATTGGGCCAAGACAGCGAAAGTTCGGTACGCAGTGCTGCTTGGTAGGCTTGCTTGACCGAGGGCTGGGATAATTCCTGAGTTGCCAATCGGGGGGCGCCTTAATGCGCCACACCATCTTGACCGATGGTTGCCTCATCAGCGCCTCAGAATGCGTGCAACCAATAGCGACAGGACAAACCGGGCGCAGTTACTTCAGCAACCCCGTGACGGTAATAATAAAATAAATAAATCACCAGCTGCATGCCGTAACGACGCTTCCCTGCCACGCGACCACCACCAGCCGCGCGTGGGCTCAGTATACCGCGAGGACGTCCGCCCCTACGCGGATTCGAACCGGTGACCTTATGGTTGCAAACCAGGCGCGCATACCGCTCGGCCACCGGCCGTGAGGGTCATTGATCCTGGTTCCGGACACATAACACACGTCAATACCCAGCGTGTTCAAGGTACGTGCGAGCGTAACTGCTGACCTCCACACGTCCACACGTCTAATCTCATGTGAGCAAATAAGGAACGGCGCAGTAAGCATTCACATCACATGCGTAGGAGGTTGACAAGCCACCACAACAGACGCATCGCAACAAGGCGATTAAATGGAAGACTCATGTCTCCAAAAACGCGACGCCGGACTTCATTGCTGTGAACCCGATGCTGCCGTTACACACGGGATATCCTCCGCAAACATGTACTGTCGAAAGTCGACGCATGTGGTCCACACGAATCGGCCAAGACCCACTTCCGTATAACAGAACAGCGCGGCACAAGCGTTGTAGACCCTCCCCTTTAAGGAGAGAGGTGTCGACGCCACAAATGACTCAGACTGGTAAATGCGGACCGGGCTTTGGTGATGCCAGTTTGCAACACAACCGTCTGTTCAACCCTCCTACAGGGTTGTGAAACCTGGCCAGTCAACTCGGCAGACAAAAAGAGGAGAGCTACGTTCGACCACCGCTACTTTCGCAGCTTATCTCAAGTCTGGTGGGAACACTGCGCGAGGCACGAGCCTCTGGCGTCGTGCATATGGTCCAGAAATAGCGTGTGAACTGTTCAGTAGGGTTATATCACCCACTAGGCTCCGAAAGCTGGGCCACGTGTTTCACATGTGAGCACATGGACTTCCGTGACGTGTGTTGTCTGCGTGAACGGAGTCTAGATGGGAGAAAAGGAATGGAGGTCAAGTGATGACTTGATCAGCAGGAATTAAATCTCTCTTTGGTTGGATACCGTCGATTTTCTGTTTGGAGGTCCGAAAGACAATGAACACGTTTTGCCGGGGACACTTATTCGTATGGCGAAGAACCGACCTCCATGGCATTTTTGCTGTTTCTTGCTCCGTTGCCCACCGCTTAGCCTCCCCTCCAACCGCGATCGTGGTCTCGATGTTAATATGATTTGTTCTCCGTTGTGGTTGTTTTTTTCATTCCGATTCTAATACCTTCCAATGAGTTGTAGTGCTGAGCTACAGGTGGTGTTTTCTACTAGCCAATATTCATGAGGATAATGACCCATAGAAAGAGAAATAATCAAGCGAAATGAACGAAACTTACCTTTCAGACGGTTTACCAAATATCCATGATCTTTCATAAGTTCCAAAAAAGACAGCAGGATAGGCAACGATGGCAGGTATTGATATTTCGTCGAACAGAGCTCTTGTAGAGTGTTCAGTGTGACGGCTACGAGGGCGACGAAAGGTAACAATGAGAAAGGTTATGAAACCAGAATCCATGTGGTATAACAGCAAACGGTAGTGTATAGGTGCGCATCAGACATGGAAACATTCATTACAATATGGCCGCACATAAGGACACAACGATATCCCGTCGTAAAACTTGGCGATAATGCGCACACATATGAACATACAGCGCTCTAATGCAGCCATCAAAGGGAGGTAAGGTTATCGTAGAAAGAAAGCGAGCACCACACAGAACAATACATTGAAAAGATATTTTGAGGCTTAAATAGGTGCACACGTATTCGTATTGCAAAATAGTATCACTAACGCCACAGACAACGAAAGCCACCTAAATCAGAAATATTCACCGACAGAGCAACGTCAATAGGAACTTAATATGCAAAAGAAAACATCGCTTGAAAATTTAAGATGACCAAATCTTGAAACAGCGTGGGATCAAGTGACACTCATGTAGAACTTGAACTGATTATCGCACGCGATATTGGTACAGCCCTTTGTGCAATAAAGCTGGGAACAAAGACGACCAATAGGATCTGTGACAAGTGAATGATGCAACGATACACGATATCAGCTAGAATTTAGAGAACATTCCTCAATGGGCCTGAAAAATGAGTTACAGTTAGAAGTGAAACGAGAGTCAACCAAATGTCAAATTGGCCCCACAAACTCCAGGTGAAAACAATACGCCACGGCAGAGTACACAGTTGATGTCATCGAAGGTGGTCTTCTAGCTAGCAATCCAAAGAATATTGGCCCACGCCGCCTGAACCTGATAGGCCAGCCAGTGAAAGTGAGCCAATAAGATAGTATTCCCTTGAAGTCCACCAATGGGGATAACGTACTCTGAAGTACTTCAGTGATCGCACTACTTGGGCGGCCAAAAAGCGAATTTACACGCATCTAATAGTTTTTAGAAGTTAGGAACTTCCAGCTAGATTATTCTCTCATGAACCACTTGCTCCACAAAGGTTTTACCAGAAGCCTTTATCTCCTGATTTGAGAAGCGGACGAACCGTGACTCGAGTAGCTGTATCGATTGTCCGTACTGTCAGCGGAAACACTACCGTTGAATTAAGGAAAACTTACACATCTGTGATAAAAACAGGTCAAGCAAATATAGATCCGTGGGAGCGATGATACCGTTTACAACAAAGGGTTTACAGTAAAGGACCCATTAATAACCTATAATGCACTGAAACTCAACCGTACTCACAAAAGTCTGCAATCTACTTACATCCCGTGATGTTCATTGCGGTCACCTATTGCCCAAACCTAACAAGATATGTGCAATGCAGCTTAATAAGATAAGTAAGGATGTTTAGTACATTAACATAAGGTCTACTACAAATTGGAACCAACAAGGTGCATGACGCCAGCCCGTATCATTGCCTGAGCTGTCAACTGGAGGAGGACGAATCCTAGCACGGTGCGATGGTTTTCTTATCCATCTCATCCCTTAATCTGTACTGTGTCACTCCCCAAGCGCTTTAGGAGAGTTTCAAACCACTAGGATCAGTGTCTAGGAGTACGATCAACTCCGCATCAACATACACCTCATTATATATATATATATATATATATATATATATATATATATATATATATATATATATATATATATATATATATATATATATAGGTCGCGATTAGCGGCGTTCGGTTGCATAGCTCGTGGATGTGTTGCTACGGTTCTTTCTTTGTTTATTTATCCGCCGTGCAGTGGGATTATTTCGTGGAAAGTTCAGCATCATTTTCATTGGTGATTTCAAATCATTTGGATCATATTTTGTATGATAACGTTCCGCGGATTTCGAAGTTCTGTTTTGCAAAAACTGCCCTACCATTTCATGCCACCTTTACGCTATTTTTCTAAAGTGTCGAAGAAATCACTTTGTGGTTTCTGTTCGAAAACTGTTAGACAACGGTAAATGCCCATAGGTGCTTCGATTACTGTGCCAGCGCTTATATTTCGGGTGTTGGATTACGTTCCCATTACTATTGTCTCCTGCGTTCTACTTAACACGATGTCATTCAAATTTTGTGCAACAAATGCAGCACTCGAAGGCAGCCAGAGAGAAGTGATGACGCCTACTGATGCAGGTTGTAACCAGACAGGTCCAACTGTGAGCAATTCGAGATACATGGTCACGCGCATTGATCTAAATTCTGTCCGAGGTCCAATCCAAGCACTACCCTTCGCTTAATAAGTCATTACTTCACCGTCCCACAATTTCCGGAAATAAGATACCAACTGGGAGTAACTGATTTTACACTCTACTATCTCTAAAGACCCAGGTGATGAATGTTTAATGGTGAAAAACCATGTAAAACTAACCGACGACGGAAGAAGCCGCAAAATGAAGAGAAGCTTCACGCTGCTGACCAACAACAGGCAAGGTCAAGCAAGGCTAGAGGTCACCCTCACCTCGCAGAAACCGTTTCGGCTGATAAAGGGCGGTCAAATGCGATGGTCTTTTACGCGCATGACTGCAACAGTCCAAGTCTTCATGCACGCTATGATCATGAAATTGAGTTTTTGGAGCATGGTTTATGGGCTACTCCTCTGTAAAAACTGTTGCGAAGTACCAGCCTATGCAGATAATCTTTGCCGATGAGACCAGCCACAATCGAATACTGTCTCCGCTGAGTAGGTTGAAAAGCAAAAAGGTGCACGGACATATATCTGATTGACAGTGAGCGCCTCAATTGTTATCATCGAACCGATGAGAGCGAAACAAACCTATGTATTGCAAAATTTTTGGTTGGTTAAAGCATGAACCCGAATTCGGATAAATTGGTCGCCCAGAGTTCAGTCATGCTCAGTGGTTCCTAGCGCGTTCGTGCAGCCTTATGGGCAAGTGAACCGTGTGACTTTGTTGCATCCGATGGGCTAAACGTAGCGGGATGCAGAAACCTTGAACTTAGTGGCTATTGGTGGTTAACGAACGCCCGTGATGGCGTCTTTCTCAACACCCGGTCTAATCTATGTGGGAGGCTTGGGATAGCCTACCAAGAAACGGCGGGCTATCTTAGCAGCTGTGGTTCTCTATCTACCTCAGACGCGAAGAGCTTCAAATGAAGTTTATCTCAGCCCCCTGATCCGCTCTTTGAATTGGCTGCCGCACCTAAGAAATAACATGAGTCGTCCCCGTTTTCTATTCATGGGCGATGTTAATTGTCCTAGAATCCACTGACCTGCAGCATAGACTATCCACGGGTATGGTGTGGTCAAAGCAAATTGCGTTGAAACGGTACTTGATACCGAAGCGGCATAACACATCTGCCAACCGATGCTCAATCCCATCCTGTCTAGACTTGATGTTAACACTCGTAGCGCTGCATGTCTAAGCATGCGCATAGTGGGTTCAAAGTGTGAGGCACTACTACCGAGGTGAGCCGACTCACCACCGACCCTCACCACCAAAATCAATCGAAGTTGTCGATCAGTTTACTTGTCTAGATAACCGCATCATCATTAGCAGTCATATAACCAAAGAGGATATGGCATCTATTGCTAAAGCTTGTGTGGATTATCGTTCTCAACCACTTACGGAGGCGGAAGAATATGAGTGTATTGGTTAATGGAGGACGTCTGGATACTGGTCGCGATTACGGCTTACTGCGAATTACTGCCAATATCTAGTGTCAGATTCGAGCGAGTAACATTGAGTCCCCGATCTTTGGTAATATAACTTACAATGCAAAATTGAACAACATCTGTTCAACAGGAATTGTGTCCTGCTTGGTTCGGTCATATGCTTCACTTGTCTGTCAATCAGCTGTCCCTTCGTGTATTGTTTGCCAATACTGTGCATAGTTGGGTGAAACCCCGAGATAGCCGGTCAATGAGTCGGTAGATCAGCATGAAGGAATTCGCTCAACGGCTGGGTCATGTTGGTGCTGCTAGTCTTCTCGGATTGCGATCACATCAATGACTGTAACCAATGATCGGAAATGACAGTCGCGAAATCGAAGGCGTTGCTTCATTCGTCACTCCATTTCCGACCCTTGCTTATATCATTTGACGATTATGATTCGCGTTTACTTCTCTAAATGTATCGTGTACGTTTTGACTGTGCTTATTTTGGTTACGTGTGGCTCTCCGTACCAAGGTGCACTGAGCTGACGTAAACTTCATGCTCATCCCGTTTGTTGTACTTTGATGCCACCGCCTCTGAATAGGAACTGCCACTTCTCCCATCTCTCGTATGCGGAAGTTGGCGCGCTTGACTCCACTGGTGTGACTCTTTCATCGTTATTTGAAGTCAACAGCGCGTGACTCGGGCATGAGCCACAGTAGCAGGCACATTCTGACGGTCTAGAGAAATACCAGTAGAAAAAGGATAACCACATCAACATGATGGGTGTGAAACTATTCGTACGAAATCAACATAACCAAGTGAAGCAGAAACAAAGGCAAATGTATAGTTAATTTAAACGCAACAATAATCGTACAGATGGACACTGTGAAAAACACTGGACGGTCGAATGCTAATGGTTGCCTGAATGAGTTTGGATCAGAGCAACACAATTTTTGCCAGCCAGGTCCCCCTGCTACGACTCTACACTTAAGTATACTGTAAACCAACCATTTTCAACGGGGATCATATGACCCCCCTGGGGGCCATAGAGAATTCCCGGGGGGGAGGGGGCCCTGGGATGAGAAAAGTGAAAAGTGGGTTTTGACAACACGAAAAACAAAATTCGTTAAAAGTTTTCTGATAGGTTCTCTCCACGCCAAACTTGGGTAGATTTCGCCGGGCTCACCTCAAACACAATCACCATACGGCGACTTAGATTGCAACTGATAACCCATTCGTCTTCAGGACTTTGATGCCTATCCTTAGGGAATCAACTGAGCTTTACTCAGGACACTGATACATTTATTGTGTAAGCTGCAGTGAACCCGCTGAAATCTCCTCAGCACACCGCGGCAGTTACCGCACAAACACAAAATGACACTGGGTTTTCCTCAGGACA